ATTATATTTTATTAATAAAATACAATTAAACTTCAATTTAACGAAGAATAAGATGCTTTCATTTTAACAGAGGTAAAAAAACCTTGTGATACATGGCATTAAACAACTAAACAAGTCATACATGGTGTGATTTTTCTAAGGTTTGATTTAAAAAGTTTGAAGAAACTGCGAATAGTCTATATCGTTACCAACTTAACTGGGCTCATGGCTGTCAGTGTGTCCGTTAAAATATATGCAAGTAGAGGCCATGGCATTTTTCAAAGGTTGATTACAAAAGTACTCAATAAATCGTGAAAAGCATATAAACTATTGTTACTCTAATGAGTGTTTTGCAGTTAAAAATAACCCAGTATGGTGAGTAAATAAGTGGGTCATTTTCGCATGGAGTACATTTGTACCCATACGCTCATACGGAATTATGGCAGTGCAACAGTCGCAGTAAGAAATAACAGTAGAAAATTTACCACGTCCTTGTTTATGGATCAACGACATTTGGTGGTCACTTGCTTGCCGTAATGGCATAGGGAGGATTGAAAAAACTTTTTACTGTCTTACGCTGCGTTCTGTGCTTGCCAATTACAACTACGAGAGTCAGTACGAAACGAACTTGCGAGGAATTCGTAGTACATTTCTAACTTCCGTTAATTTCAGCCAAAATTTGTGTCTCACCTAAATAAACGGAAATTGGAAATGTCAACATGTGAATATTTTCTCAAGAAAACGAATATTATTCACTTGTAAGGTAACAATAAAAATTGCGTGTCTTTAGTACATCAGTTTAGCCAACATACTGTTCGTAAATATCCTCGACCCATTAAAAGCCTGAATTTTTTTTTTTTTTTTTATGTTAGTTTCCGATTGGTCGTCTGAGAGTTTCCTTACTGCAGTTGTAGACAGAACTTTCCCAGGTTCGAATTGCATCGCTATTGTTATTTTCTTAGGAGAACGCAGCGGTGATTGTAGCACGCCTCTGTTTGCAGAAAACGGTTGACAGGATGTACCAGGATTCACACTGAGAGCGTGCCGCTAATATCAGAATCAGAATCGCGACCATTCAGCACATTGCTATTGTTACCAACAAGACTCTGCATGCCCCGTGAGTTAGCCCGCAGAAACCACTCATCAAATTAAATCCAATGTTTTTTTACTAACATGAGCGAATTTTATTTGACTTGAAAACTGGCAGTGATCTAATTGAACCACATCCATAAAAATATAATTGTTTAGAATATAAAAATAATTCAAAATTTCCCCTTTAAAGCCGTAACTAAACAACATGCTAGCAACACTAGAATGTCATACCTAACGCACAGTCACGTGTGAGTACATGTACGCATTCAAAGAAACGGTCTTCGTTGTTATAAAGAAATCTTTCAAAGCATTTGAGTTTGGCGCTGTAATTAGTATCAAGTTCCCTGGGGTTAAGCAGACGAGTAAAGTGTAAGCGTACGTGAATTTATTAGAGCTCTTGTAAACGACTGACGATTCGTACAGATGACCCCAACACCAAACAAGAAGTCAATGACATAACTAATGAGCCTACTTTCCTCTACATTAGGGCGAATAAATTTTAATGAAGTTTTTAAAAGTTGACTTGGCAAAAAGTACTAAACGTCTAATTGAGAGCAATGTCATTAGAGATCGAACCAGATACGTATTACAAACAACACGGGCCTTACCCGGGATTCAAACCCAAAAAAACCTCGTTTTCCTGAGAAAGAAAGGCGTACATGAAATTATTTTCCTCTTTGCGCGTCTGTATTTACCCGTTCATTTGGGTTTACTGATGCTGGCACATCACTTGAAGCTAGGTTACCTGAGGTAGGACTGTAGTGAGAAATGCTAATAGAAGATGCCAATGTCCGTATATCTTATTGTACATTCGGCGACTTCCTGAAAAAGTGTTAGGTGCATGTTAGAGTGAGCATGATTGATCACAGTGGAGTATCTTTCCTTGTACGCGACCTCTTGTAGAACGGCTGACTGACCTCATGAAGGACGTCTGTGACTTGCTTGCATGCCCTTGTCGTTACGCGTACGCTCAGCCAGTAAATTACTTCACCACAATTGATTAAAAACTTTCAGTTTAGAAAGTTAAGAATATCTGCTGAACCAATCCACAGATTGCTAACTTAACTTTTCGAGGTACTTGATTGATATTTCTCTAGTGTCGTGTTTCTGAGAGCTGGTTAAGTATTTCTGTTTTAAAAAAAATCCCTTATTCATTGACTTTCTGTTGGGTAAAAAACATTTCTTGCCGAACAAGTTGGGCAATCTGTACATAGTATAAAACAAAGTCATACGGCCGCGTGTCTCTATGTATTCGGCCAAGCCTTCTAAATTACTTGATCGATTTTGATGTGGTTTCCACCATGATTCAGAGAATTTCTTGAGGAAGGTGTATTTATGTAATACATTAATATTTAATCTATGAATAGTAGAGAAATGTCGACGATTTATATAACCAAGCCGGAAAAAGCCACTTTTCGGAAGCTTACATGCCTTGATGACTAACCATAAGAGGTACTCCAAATTTAAGTACTACAGAATTGTATATATCAAAAAAGTATACATAAACGTCCGCGACAGCATGTTGTTATCTTTTAAGGATGACCCACAGTAACTGTTTTTGTCTTTTAAAATTTGATTAAAAATAGGGGTTCACTTACAAAGACTTTGTGAACAACACAGTATTAATCCCATGTTAGTTACCTTTAAGGATTTAGGGCATATTCTTGCTGTAACCCTAAACAACGCCATATTTGTAAATCGCACCCCGAGCGAGGCCGAGGCGGGTCGATAGTTTACATTATTCTGTTACATTTACTAACAGTAACTTATAATCCGTTTCTTTTTACTATCATATTCAATCATTGTTTGTAAGCTTTCTAGGTTTGTTTATAGTAGATCATTGACGATCACAGATTCATATGCATGCGATATCAGAAAGAAGGCGTGTTTTCAAAACATGAAAAATAAATTACCATATATCATGCCTCAAACATGCATGGAAGTCTTACTAATGTGTGGGAATTTGCAGAGACAGGCATTGTCAAAATTGCAATTAATTTCTGTGGGCTTGGGCGCGTAACACTTCGACCACTCATTTAAGATTGCATGTTTAAATGATTATTTTAAATTCTGCAAACATCTTAAGTAAAAGAAAGGGAGCATGCAACATTTTCTGAGTATTATTTCCCTCACAATGAATCCTAAAATTCGAAATCAGGGCAAACGTTACAAAATATTAGAAATTACACTGTGTACAAACCTCTGAAAACAAAGGTTTATAAATTACGTGCCTATCACTGTGCCTAAGTTTGTACTTCCCTAAAAACTCACCTCTTGCAAAAAAATTCAGATTTGTGGAGCGGTTCGTAAGGGTCTCGCCTGCTTGGAAGTTTTTTCCCTGCGTTCGAGGCCGAGAAGCGCAGGAGTTATAAGGACTACAATGGCACGCGCTACAAGTGCGTCATGCCACTAAGCACAGGGCTCTGAAATGGCGTGCAGTGTCCTTGCCGTGCTGTGTGTGCCCATGAGACTTTAAGTGGCGACCCTATCATTTTATTGGTGGGGAGTCTGTAGCAAGATTCAGTGCATATCACTTGAGTACACTCGTGTGTATATAACGCGTAAATTTTGATATACAGCGGTTTGAAAAAGCCGTTTATAACCAAGTTGGAGTGCTCTGAAATGGTGTTTTAACTGTGCGCGACGTCTTAAAAGTAATAAACAGGCAAAAAAGCTGGTCACGATAAAGTAAGCACTTTTGAAATCAACCTTAGAAAAAAGTCACTACCCCGGACCTGCATTTAACGGGCACACTAAGTGACATACACCCAGTAAAGTTGGTAACTACGGGTGGAAAATAGTTCCATATCTTAACGTTGAATTAAAAGTGTTAGGTGACCATAGATGAGGGCAGGCGAGGGTGAAGAGATGTCAGTATGCAGCAGCGCTGGAATGCAAGAGCGGGGTGAATGGGAGGTCACTGAGAAAACCTACCCGACCGGCGGCATCGTCCGACACGATTCCCACGTACAGAAATTCGGGAGTGACGGTGGGGACTTAAAGTAATTATACTCCAACTTGCACTGATTTTAATTTTATTTTTTTACAGGCACGCAATTAACATATTCTTTTTGGTCAGCACATAAATTTTAATTTTCCAGTCAGAACAATCAAAGCAAGAAACGAGATACTATTGGAAATAAAATATTGCAGCAACGCACACACTGATTTTGTTTTCTTTTCGTTATTTAACATTTTATACCATCATACTTACAAGTGAAATTTTATTTTTGCATCATAAGGTATTTACTTTTCTTCACTGAAGCTGTTGGTACCAATATAGCTTATGTGTATGTTTTGTCACCCACAGCTAGCCGAGGATACAGCTCCAATGGTTCGCAAGGAAAATTGTAATAATAAAGGTTTTAACCTCCAATGCAAATGAAAGGGAAATAAAATAAAGTAGTCCTACCTACATCACCTTCTCACAATGAAACACACGCAAATAAAATTTTCTCTCACATAGTTATATGCATAGCCCAGATCCCCAGTTCTCGCATAATCTCTATACTGTGATTATTATTTTTCAATTATGATAATATTTAATGAGAAAAATTCCGATACTTTATGCATTAGGTTTTGTTCAAGGTTTTCTGATAATTAAATAATATTCCACAAATAGGACTGCATTAAAATATTTTTTAATGAATTATTGAAGTACAAATTACAAATTTGAAAACTTTAATGTTACACGCTCGAGAATTTCTTATTTACAAGAACATTACTTTTTGTATGTAGAATCAGGACTTGTACTTTCCTGTACCGTATTCTATTAAAGTTTTCTTGAAAATAATATAAGATATTGGCACAAAAACATTTTATGGATAATTAAATATACATTAGATCGACGTATATAATATATTTTTACCAAAATACCTCTTCCTCAAATTAAATATATAAAACTACCTTAAACATCATGCATTCATATCTCCGGTATGGTCTAGTGGTTGGGATACCTGGCTCTCACCCAGGAGGCTTGGGTTTAATTCCCGGTAGTGGGAAAATCGTAGTTTTTTCCTTACACATTTGCTTCCTAATTACACATTTTTACTGGTTTTACGAATCAATATGTGATTCTGAGAGAGGAATTTTACGTACAATTGTATGGGGGAGTGCTGAAAACAAACTATCGATTGCACAAATCATTTCAGACAGTTATCTGTGTCTGTGGCAGATATTCCACGAACTCTTATATTGAACATACATACTATATAAAGTAGATGTTTAAATTTTAATGTACTCGTTTGAAATTTAGAATTAATTTACATAAACAAGTAGCTAGCATAGCAGAATAACTGACTAGTTCAAAGGATACCTGTGACGTCTGTGGCCTAGTAGGCACAGGATGTGAAGTGAAGGAACAGTGATCAGAAAATATCTGGTGTGCCCATAAGACAAATTTGGCGTTACGGCGACTGAGAAATCAAAACAATATTTTTGGATAATATTCAGAGAATCTGTTTTTATTATATAAAAATACATATATCACATATACGCATGCCCACAAGCATTTGGATAAAGCATCAGAATAAATTTCAGTTGTAACTATTTGTAGTCATTGGGTTAGAGCATCACAATTAACGTCAGTAGTAACTATCTGTAGCCATTGAGTTAGAGCATCAGAATAAACATCAAGTGTAACTATCTGAGACCATTGGGTTAGAGCATCAGAGTAAACGTACCTGCAATTGCGGAACTGGTAAATCACTGATACTGTATTTATTAATGTTCAGTTTAATTAGAAAAAGTGTGAGGTACGAGGTTTATGACTTCCCATCCTATGGCCATAAGAGATAATCCCTTCAGCATAAAGATAAAGGGAATACATTAAAATACAGTACTGTTTGCAAACCCTACTCTCTCCCCATAAGTAGACACACTGGAAAATTGCGAACTTCTTGAGCCAACATATCTCCGATAACACTGCCTAGTTTATTCTTTTATGACTGGATTATTGAGTTTCTGACTCTTCTAAGCTATTTGCAGACCATTAACAAACTTTCTGCTTTAGAGTGTCAGAATCTTCATTCGCTCAGTGAAATAGGACGGTAGCTTCGTATATGAATGACAGCCAGTGCAGAAATAAAATTTTCGGAAAAGTGTGCAGTACGTTGTATCTTAGCGAGCAATCATCTTTCCCCGCAATAAACATTCGCATCTCTCTACCCACGAGTGGTGACACCGAAAATTTCGCGGATTCGCTCAGCAACAAGCTACTAGACTCCAAAATCGTTTGTGCATCAGAACATTAGAGCCTCAGTTAGTTGTTCAGTGGCTGATGTTCTAGTTTACCCGCAGACCAGGCATTGAAGGATTCGACCTGTGCTTTGCTTGCAGGTCCATTATTGGTCGACAGTAGTCCAGCGCGTGCCTAACCAACTGTTATCCAATAGAGACAGAAACTCAGATCTACACGTGGTTGTAGTTTAACTTGTCCTCAGATGAATTTGCCAAATTTTTCAGGCCGCTTCCCATTAGCGATTTTTGCGAATACTGGCGACGGTCTTCGAGGACCAAGGAGTGTGAAGCATGGAAGTTAAAAAATGTAGTAGACGTCTGCGAAAACTATATATATATATATATATATATATATATATATATATATATATATATATATATATATATATATATATATATATATATATATATATATATATAGCAATATTATAGTACGTAAACAAGAAATTGCTTTCGCAGTCACTTTATAATTACTGTGTATTGCATTCTTGATAAATAAATTGAGCTTTCAATTTTTAAAACGTTCTGGCACTTTAAAATTTTAAGTATCACACTAAATATGATAAAAAAAAAATACTTCTATAACGCTCAACACCTCATGTTTCTCTATCATTATTTGTATTAACATTTTCGTGAAACCTTTATTTTAATGTTGTCTTGACCGAACATTCACTACGCTAAGGTGTGAAGTGTCATTGTGAATATAGCTCAGTGCAACCGAAACTTAAAAAGTTATACTATAATTATAATTATAATAATACGGTCCATTGTAAATTATAGCATTTTTACGCACTGTAATAAATGCTATTAATACAAATACTATAATTATAGTATGGTTCACCATCCCTGCCGATGACCCAGAGTGTAGGCACTTTTGAAAGTCCTGCTTAGTATCTACTTGTATAAACGCTGTGTATTTTTGCGCATTTTGTAAAATAAACATTGCCATGGGCCTCATCACTTTACTAATACGTCGATCAGGTGAAACTGTGAAATTACTAGGAAAGTAAATATTTCACAAATATCGCTACTTTGACACTTCCATGAATTAAAAAAAAAATTCTGAAAGTGAAATAAATAATTTAACTTATCATAAATTGTTACCTACTATTTTTTATTCGACTTTAAGAGATATGTTCCAACTTTACATCCATTGTTACCAACATTACTGGGCGCATGCGACTCATTGTGCCCGTTAAAATATATGCAGGCAGGGACAGTGACTTTTTTCTACGGTTGATTTCAAAAGTGTTCATTTTATCGTGAACAGCCTTTAATACAAATACTATAGTTATAGTATGGTTCACATCCTGCCGTTGACACAAAGTGTAATAAATACTATTAATACAAATACTACAACAGCTATAGTATGGTTCATATCCCTGCCAATGGCCCAGAGTGAAAGGGCACCAACAGTTAGGTGAAGCGAGCAGAGAAGGCAGGCAGGTACTCACACGCCGATGAGACCAGGGGTGTCGCCGAAGAAGTCGCGGCGCAGAACCTGCTTGTAGTAGTGCAGGGTCGGCATGGATGGCCGGTGTGGCAGCGCGTCCTCACGCCGGAACACACGCTCGATCTCGTCGCCGTCGAAGACGAACAGCAGGTCCGGGTGCCCCACCAGCCCCGACAGCCGCACGACGTCGCCATAGTCGCGGTGCAGCGCTCGCATCGCCTCGTCCAGACGCTCCGTCGAGTACTGACCTGCGGCAGCGGAGGGTATCAACATGCGGGGGTGGACTGGAGGTAGGGGCGTAGTGGTTTCAGATCAAAGGGGATGCCGCCTTTTGATTGACCTAATTAACTTGATATCAAAGGGTTAACTAAATCGAATGAAAGGGTTAATAAAAAGGGTTAATCAAAAAGGGGTTAATCACCAAAGGGTTAATCAAATAGAAGGGCTATATTTATTGAAAGGGTTAAATTTATTGAAAGGGTTAACTGGAGCTGGAGGTGTTGGGGCCTCCGTTGGATGCAGGGGTTGATACAAACTTAGGTTTATTTTTTGGGGAAAGGGGAGGAAGGGGGATCTGCCGCCTGCCAGAGAGTCTGATTACCTACACTGAGAAATAAATATGGTTGTAGGAACCACCTCGACTGTTATAGGCTATTCACGGTAAAATGAGCACTTTTGAAAGCCCTGCTTAAGATCTACTTGTGTTATATAAAATTAACCTTATATAAAATTAACATTGCTACGGGCCTCATCACTTTATTCGCGCGTCTGCCAAGTTAAATTGTAAAATTATTGTAAAAGTAAATATTTTACAAATGTGGTCATTTATAGACTTCGATGAAAAAAAAAAAAACAGAGAGCCAAAGAAATATTTTCAGTCATCACAAAATATTTTTTCCGACGTTTCCCATCCATCGTTACCAACTTTGCTGTGCGCGCGTCACTCAATTCTTCCGTTAAAATGTACGCAGGTAGGAGCGGTGACTTTATTCTTAGGTTGATATCAAAAGTGCTCACTTTATCGTGAATAGCCTTTAAAAAGGGGGAAAACCATCTGATAGGCAGGGACACCCGAATTTCACGAAAAGATTCCCGCACATTTCATATTTCGATACACTACGGGCGTACAAGCTGTTTTCTTTTGCTTGATGGCGGCGTGTCTTTGTGAGGAGACATTTTCCTGCTAGACTGGCCAATCACAATTAGGTAACTTCAGTGCTGTACGTCTGCGATTCGCGCGCGGACTCCTGAGATGCGTAAAACGCCAATCACGCAATCACGAAAGTGATTCTGAGCCAAAGTAATATGGAATACAACTGGTCACGAAATCTTTTCGCGAAAATCGGATGTACGTACTGATGGGTTACATGTAGAGTCAGAGTTTCTCACGATTTCATTCGGAACCGAGGTAGACTCCAATCACTTGTTCTTTTCTCCTACTGTTGTGATTGGACGACAGTTCTTTAGACACGCCCCGTTTAACTGTGAGCCAGTGATAAGCAGGAAGCATAGTAGTGTGAGTCAGTGTTTAGCAGCCCTGCACAGAGGCCTCACTTGATCACAGCAACCAATAAGTAAACGATATTTTCTCGAGTGTATAGAGGGCTGTCCAGCCTAGCTTGCTGGCAACTCAATCCGCGAAGTACTCTGGGTTCTAGTTATATGTACCGTGTAAATATTGTAAAAATAGATATAATCAATTCACGGTTACTTCAGCCTTTTCTTAAGCCCTGTTAATGTTCTACTTCCAGGATATTCCTCCGCCTCGTGCAAACTAAGCTTAACAACTCTGGAGAATTACATCAGAGGGACAACGCACCACATTCGTGCGCACTCAGTTGTAAGGATATTTTGTTTAAGAACTGTTTCTCACTAGACGTTACCCTGTTTTTTATTCAAATTATTTATCAATGAAGCATTACAATTGATAGATAAGATATTAATAATATTTCAATTTAACAGGAAAAAAAGTAACTTTTATGAACACAAGTATAAAACGCTTGTGATACAGGTCGTATTTAGGAAATAACTAAACACGACATACATGGGAAGATTTTTCAAAGGTTTGATTCAAAAAGGCCGAAGAAACCGTGAATGGACTATAGTAATGCCAAAATAACTGTTTGTTGCATTCCTGTCTGTGACTATTTGCTACTGTACATGTGCTAGCTACAGAAGAACACTGAATACCCACTACAAAACTGAGAGAACCACCAACAGAACAACTTTAACAATATTTGCATTTTTCCAAAAATAATCAGAACTATAATAAGATAATAGAATTCTCTGTTGTTGCTACTGAACAGTTCT